GCGAGGCCAGAATAAACATCTTTTGAGTTTCTCTACAGTTTTACTCATCCCACAATGCGCTGAGCTGGGAGCGTCATGAGCCTGATACAAAACATCTGTAATCAATCCAGCCGGAACCCAAAGTTTCCATGAGGCTTCCTCTTGAGATTCATCTCCCGAAGCGAATCCTGTTCTCTTAAAGACTTCAAGTCTGGGAACTTACTCTGATTTTGGATTAATATTTTCTATCAAACTCAGATACTCTGCGGATTTAAATTGGTCTGACTCTAGATCAACCATCGGTTTTATTTGCATAAGCTCTTCTATAGCAGGCTCATCCTGACGTGATAGAGTGTCAGCGACAACATTCAGGGAACCTTTTCTATGTAAAATATTAAACGTAAAACTTTGTAATTTCATTGACCATCTCGCCAATCTTCCTGATAAATCTTTCTGGCGCATTAACCATTGTAGTGCAGCATGGTCAGTTATGACTACGAAGTCTTGACCCTCAATATAAGAGCGGAATTTCTTAATACCTTTTATGACGGCTAAGCACTCAAGCTCCGTAACCGAATAGTTACGTTGTGCTTTTGACAACTTTTCCGACATATACGCTATTGGCAGTTCGACACCTTCTCGATCTTGAGCCAAAACACAACCGATTCCGTAACTGCTAGCATCACAAAGCAAAATGAAAGGTTTTGAAAAGTCAGGATGGGTGAAGCGGTCAAACTGGACTTTAACGTTTCAAACGACTGTTGAGCATTCTCGTTCCACTGTAGGTCCTTCTTTTTCTTTAGTAATTCTCTTAGGGGGAAACTAACTGTGGCGTAGTTTTCAACAAATCGTCCGTACCAACCGGATAATCCCAAGAATCGACGCAGTTGCTTAAGAGTAGTTGGCACAGGGAACTTTGAGATGGCCTTGATTTTGTCAGGATTGGTTCTTATCTGACCATTCCCAATAATGAAACCCAAATACGTGATTTCTTTTATACAAAAGTTCGATTTACTTATGTTAATGGTAAGATTTGCTTTCCGTAGACACAAAGCAATCTCCTGTAACAACAATAAATGCGACTCGAAATCATTTGATAAAACAAGTAAATCGTCTAAGTATACAAAGACGCGAGTACGAAGATGAGCTGGAATGACTCGATCCATTAATCTACAGAGTTTGAGCGGCATTGCAAAGACCAAACGGCATCATTTTATATTGATATAATGGCCTATTAGGCACTGTAAAGGCAGTATATTGCCGTGATTGTTCGTCTAACGGGATTTGCCAAAATGCATGCTTCATGTCCAAGCCAGTGATGTAGCGAGCGGGTGGTAACCGACTCAAAAATTCCATCGATATGTGGCAAGGGTATGCGTCACGTCTTGTGACTTTATTTACTTCTCTTGAATCGAGACAAAGTCTATATTTTTCGCCTTTCTTTACAAAAACACAGTTGCTGCTCCAGGGACTAGTCGACTCTTCTGTAACATCGAGCGCTAGCATATTGTCAACTTCGGCAAACATCAATTTCTCTATGGCTGGCGATACTGGCCAGTGCCTCTGCTTTACAGGGATAGCTGCTCCAACATCTATGGAGTGTGTGGCTAAACTAGTACGGCCTAATCCTTCAGTGGCGAAAGATGGAAAAATACCTATTATTTTGTTCAAGCGACTTCTGTCGTCCGGTGTCAATTAATGTAGGTTTGGTGGTTCTTCTACATCATCAGTACCTCCGACATCTAATTCAGATACCTCGGCAGTGTGTGCTATTTGATCCAGAAGTCCAAACTTTTGCCAAAAGTCTATCCCTAAATAAACGTCTTGCTTGAGTTCAGGGATAAGAAACATTTCTAAATGAGCTGTGCATCCGCGGTAGTTAATTTGTGTTACCAGCTTGCCTATGACCTGGTTTTCAGTGCCGTTCTTATAGCTCCTGAACACTTCTTAATCTTGCTATGGCCTACTAAATCTTTTGCAGCTGAACCTCCGATACAACTGATTGTAGCTGTCGAATCGAACAATGCTACGTACTCATTGCCCTCAATGATGACATTAGTATATAGCCTGTTATCAGACTTGAGAAATATGGCGGAAATAAACTTGTTCTTATTCATGCGAACAGTTTTCCAAAAATTCCTTAAACGTTTTGTTGAACGTTTAGGCTTCCTTACAAATTTAAAGCTATCTATTCTATCAAAAATTTCTTTACGAGTAATATTGTAATTATTTACCCTTTCTTGTAAAAGAATAAATGAAAAATGAAGTGGTGTTAACCGCGGTTTCTCTACTGTTTGAGAGCTGATCTTCGGCTCTGTTAAACATTGGTCGTTTGTCAAATCAGTAGGTGATTCTTGACAACTGTTTTTTAAGGATGTGTCTGTTTGTTGTTGGTTGACACATCCCTCTGCCTGTTTCCCGAAGGGTTACATTTGGGGCATGTTGGTTTGTAAGTATCCTTGGTTCCGCAACCGTAACAAAAGATCCTTCGTGGACCAACACAATCGTCGAATTTATGACCTTTGGTGTCACAATTCCAGCAAATTGGAACTGTCTGCGCAGCGCGACGTTGTATTTGACATACTTCGTCCGGTTCTAAATTGTCATCGGATAGCTTTTCGTTATCGTCTGGATTTGACAATTCTGATACATATGAGCGTAGGGTCTTTTGCTTGACCGATTTTATATCATTATAAAACTGCTCATGCTTACGCACATCTCGTCGTAGCTGAGACCTATTTGCGATCTTTAAATGAAGAAGTTCAAGATGAAGGGAAGGCTTCGAGTTTCTAATTAGTAAATCGACAACATCTTCTTCTGCAACAGAATTTTGAAGCCTGTCAACGAGATCTTCGATAGCATATTGAAAGTCGTCGAATGATTCGTTTTCGCCCTGACGGCGTTTCCTAATCTTCTCCCAGATATCGTAATCGGTCTCTACATCCTCAAATCTTCGTCTAAACTCTATACAAAATGTATCCCAAGTAAAATTTGGGTAAGTGCGGTGGAACTTCCAATACCAATCACTAGCTTTCCCCGAGAATAGGAGGTACTAGTGATCGCAAAGCAACTGATAATTGTTACATAGATTTTGTTGAGTTAAAGAACGGACTCGATAAATAAATTCATCCATCCTCATGCAAGTCTTTGAGCCATCAAATTTGATGCGCCAATTCTGCATTATACTAGAAACTTTTGCTGGTGCTACGTGTGAGCTCGAATTACTTCGATTCGCACCAACCCTTGAAAAATCTAAAAGGACTTCTGCATTACTATCTCGTGCTTGAGTGCTACCAATGTTATTCGTCTGGTTACTATTACCGTTACGTGATACATCTGGTGTAGTATGTGCAGCTTGTGTCAACTGGAGTGACGCTAATTGACTTTGAATCGAAGATTCAATAGTTTTGCTTAAGAAGGAAGAAAGCTGTTCCATCAACTGAGCCTGTTGAATGCTAACAGCAGACTGGACATAATTAGCGATTTCAACTTGAGTATTTATCGGAAGGGTTGTATTGTTGGTTTCGGGTTCCGTTAGTGAGCGATCCAATTTAGATCGTTGAGTTGATCTTGTACTCATACCTCTTCTACTGAACTTTTGCCCCCTTTTAGGTCGACTTGACGTACCGTCTACCGTACTAAAAGATTCGTTAGCACTGGGTGGTCGCGCTCCTTCGGCGTTAAGCTCTGCTAACAATGTGTTGTTAGAGAATGTTAGTGCTAGAGCAGAACAATCTAATGTACAGGTGGGACATTTTGGATTTGTTCTAATATGTTCCAAAATACAAATTTTGTGGAACTTATGTCTACACGGAGTATTTGCTATGAGCTCACTAGCCCCCAATACTTCGTTGCAAATACCACAAAATGGTTCTGCTTCCTGCCAAGCAATGGTGATGTCTTCTGTGCTTCGCCTTACAGCCATTATATATCAGACACAATAAAGATATTTAAAAAAAAAATTTAAGAATATAAAAAAAAATCAAAAGAATAATTTGCAATAATAAGTGGTTGTAATATAAATAACGTCTGTCTTTCTCACATGCCAGAATACTTATAATTATCTAATAGGTTTCAGTAGGCTTTTCTATTGCTATTAATATGGACGATTTATCATTTATGACCTCTTGCATTGAACCATTGGACAATTATCGCGTTTTCGCAATATAAAACTGTAAATCCAAATAATTCAGGGTGCACTATGTGTTAGTCAGGTTTGCTTTGGTCGATCAATCCAAAATAAAAAGAATTGAGATCGCAAAATCGTAAAACAATTCCTGGTTACACTGATCATGGTTTGGTATTGCATAACTATTTCCGATACTCGCAATTTTGCACTGTGGGTCTGCTTTGGTTAACCAATCCTAACGAAAAGAATTGCAGTTACTAAATCCTAAAACAGAGTCCACATACAAATTTGGAAATCTTGATCTTTAAGCAATATAATTATAAAAAAAAAAATTGTAATTTTTGTTATTTAAATGGATAAGCGGTTGAGCTTGGTGAACCAAGGCAATATTTGCGTGTTTTATTAAAATAACTCGGCCTGTATAGTATGACACTATAAATCCAAATTTTAATAATAGTTCAGAATAGGTTTTAGATTGTAAGGCAAGTTGCCTGGCCCCACGTTGGGCGCCAAAATGTGTAGTGTACCAGAGTTTATATACATATGTATACATATATATAGGCCTTGATATCAGCAGATGGTGAAAACTGAATTTTAAGGGCGGCGTACAGCAAGGTTTGGTCAAAGACAATATAAGTATAAGATGCGTAACGCCATACGAAATTTCTGCACACGAATTTTCGGGGCTGGCTCTAGAGCTGGCTCCAGGCTCTCTTGAAATTTTTTAGAGAGAGAGAGCGCTCTAGAGCCAGCCGCTCTCTTGTATGCATACAGCATACGAAGGCACACGAAGTTGGTTCTTTGCCGATGCGACAGCCGAGCCGAGTCGTCGCGACGACTGTATGTGTGCACATGCATACGTTTTTTACAGCGCTGTCGAAATATACCCTGCAGTTCTGGCTGTCACGGCATGAAAGTGTCATAGGAAAAATTGTTCGGGCTCGACGTCGACAAAGGCAGCGACGTCGACGTCAGCATGAAATTCTGACCAGCTTCAACTGCTGCAGATCGAAGCTGACTCGTAAGAAAGAGAAGCAGATATCCATAGATTTCCCTCTCTCTCATATTTTTAGTTTTCTCTACCTGCATTCGACCCTAACTCTTCTACTCTCGCGCATTTCGTCTCCTCAAAGGGATGAGGGGAGAAAAACCGATTATTTGGTGCAATCTTTTGTTGCGAGCGGCTGTGATTTTTTTGAGTTGAGCGTCTTTTTACATGTTATTCTTTTTAAAAGTGGTTTTTCAGTGTTTTTAAAGTCAGGTAAGTGGATTCAGTGATTACAGTGCGCGTTGTTAGTTAAATTAAATTTGTACATGGGTTTCGCAAGAACAAATATGTATGTTTAGATTCTAGATCATTCAAGCGGTGTGGTCCCGTTAACCATGTGCGTCGCTGCGAGTGTTTGTTTTTGCTCGAGGAAACCCATGTAACTGCAAATACAGCATTTTTAATTAAAAAATATATATGTACAAATTGACTTATTTATTTACAGATCAAAACAATTCTGAAGTCAAAATCAAAATATTAGTCCAGGAGTAATTGTTTAAAATGCCTCAAAGGTAAAATCAAATTTCATATGTGTATTGCCTTATACAAATCTGAACATAACTCAGAAGTTAGTTCAGAAAATATTACCTTCCGTGGCTAAATATTTTTATTTTTTATATCATTTCAGGAGCATTGGTGCTTATTAACCTGATCGAGTCAGTTAAGAAAGGCCCTACAGATAATTAAAAATAATTAAATCAATGAAAAATCTAGAAAATCTGTGTAAAATAAATATATTTACTTTTATTTGAATGAAGTGTTTAAAGAAATTTTTGGGTGGCTTTCACTTATGAAATTATCCGTGAAATTCCGTTAAATTTAATGAGAAGTCTCACAGGTGATTTCATATAGGACATTTCAAAAGAGTCACGAGTGATTTCATATGGGATATTTCGATGAATCACGAGTGATTTCATATAGGACATTTTCGGGAGTTTCCCCAGTGAAATCACTCGTGGCACATCCCGAGTGAAATCACTCGTGGCATGTCACCAGTGAAATCACTCGTGGCATGTCCGAGTGATTTCACTCCTGGCTTATACGTATAAGCCACCGGTGAAATCACTAGAAAATTCAGTGACAATTTCATATGAAGTTTCACGAGTGACAAAAGCGGACATGTCCATACAAATTTCATCTGGAGTTTCACCAGTGAGTCACCAGTGGCAGAGGACATGCCATGAGTGATTCACCGAATGAATCACGAGTGAAAAGTGACTTTTGGAACTGCAGGGTACCCTTCACTTTATAAGTGTAAGTTAATTTTGCAGGACGCTTACCACCCCAATATTAAAAAACTCATATATGTATTATATGTATATATCCCTCCAATGATAATTTCTTTTCAGATGGTATATTCGATAATAATGATCGGATATACATATATAAAAATACATAATATATTTAATACATGAAATTCCATGAATCACATTGGAATAATTGCCATTAGGGTATTCAGGATGCGACGTATTCAACGCCGGTATATAATTTCGTTTCTCAACTCGTAAAAAGGTTTCCGTCTCGAAAATCGTCCGGCCGCTTAGCACAAGTACGCACACATACGTACTTGCTGTTCTGTGTGTACTTACACATGCAAGCGGATTCTATTTTTAGATTCGCACGCTCTCAAATTTGTGCGAGCGAGATGGCGCGAATTTCGTCGCTGGCCGCAAAATTGTCTTGCATATGGCAATTGAAATGTATGAGCGTTACGCATCTTATACTTATATTGTCTTTGGTTTGGTCGTGTGCACTCTTGCTAGGCTCGGATCTAGCTCGCCGGATTGTCGGGGTTCTTCCTCACCAAACTGTACTTTTGTACTCCACTACATTTAATTAGTGCACTTGTACGGTAGACTATATGTGGCTATTGTATTAATACAAACAAAAAAAAACTTATGATCAAACAGCGCCGACACGCCAAATAAAGCCCTACTGAACCCATTTCTATTTGGAGGGGACCTAGTTGTGAATTGTCCCTCTCTTCTCTACCCACCCTACCATGACAATGCGTGAGAACTGCTGCATTGTCCCTTGATCAACCTTTTTAATCAGATTCACCACATTTTATAAGATCCTGGCATGGATACTAGACAGACTATTACAAAAAGTTTAAAGATTCATTTCAAATTCATAACACTTCATATTTTAATACAAAAATTATTTTCAGTTCGGGTAACCATAGTGTTACAAACAAGAAGGCAGCAATTAATATAGATATTTGAAATAGGGTACTAATTTCTTAATTACTAGGTATTATTTAATTAAATTCATTAGATAATTGTAAAGAATGGGAATCTATTTGATATATATATATATATATATATATATGTAAGGCAAGGTAAGTGTAGACTAATTAATCTTTTTATTATAAACGGAATTCATTGGCACTCAGATATCTAGAGTTCTCTTAAGTTTTAGGGAAACTAAGACAAAAGTGCATTCTAGGTTTTGAGAACGGAATCAAATATAGTTAACCATAAATATGTATATATGTACGTATTCATACTGTCCAGCATGAACGCAAAATGTAATAGAATTACCACAATCTTTTGGTTTTTACTCACTCCGCCATAACCTTATTTTGCGTATCGTTGGACCCAATGAAGACGTATGTGTTGGTGTTGGCTGTTTAAGATATTGAAATTAATTAAATACATATCAACAATTACTTATTCGAAAGAAAACCGTTCATATCTATCAGCCAGTTGTCTCAGTTTGCATGATTATTAATTTACGTTATTTGACATCACTTCTGCATATATAAATATATGAGTAAAGAACAAGATTACAAATTATTTGCGAAAAGAAAATCAAATCAAAAGGGAACTGCATGGTGCATTTACATCGCACGATTCCTTGCCATTAGCGAGGAGTACTTTTAAAGTTTCACATACACTGAATTGCAATGCTGACATATATGCGATGGCAGATTTTAATGGAACTTTGAATATATTGATATAAATATAAACTTAGACTGCGGGGGAATCCAATGAAGAAGGCATGACCGGGCTAGTCTGTTGCGATTCGGAAATCGCCTCGAGGAGATGTAAGAGGCACTTGGGCGATATATCCGACTCCGGTTTACGATGTAGACTCTTTATTAGATATGAGAGCCAATTCTGTAGACGCGGCCAGTCTATCTGCCCCAAGTGGAATGGGACAGTACCTTCCGTCAAACTGTATACAGGTATTTGGACCATAGGTCCACAAGGGATGATGAAACTCCACCAAGAAGGTTGCAGTTGGACTAAAATCGACAACTTTTTCCTCAGTCTGCTCCCAGGGCAGTCTTAGACAGACTTCACCGCGGTGGGCAGCTTAAGATGCTTTGACCTGCAACATAGATTATGTAAGCACATGGGCACTGGACGAACATGGTAACATACCTTTGGCAAGAGATACACAGCAACACTTCAATATATTATCCTAATAACCATACATAAATGGAATATGTAGTTCGCTTGGTCTTATTACAAAATGTTCTGCGCATAAAAGCAGGTGAAAATATAATGCACTTTTATTTGAACACTCTGGGCACGGTAAAAATCTGCACGTCTGCACTTGTTCATCAAATTTTCTCTAATGATCATAGCATCAATAGACGATCGTCTACGCGCGTTTCGTCAGAGCTTTAAGTTCTACGTTAACTGTGCAATCGTATGTTCTCATACCCTTGCAGCAGCATTAGGCAGTTCTTAACTGTGCAATCGTATGTTCTCATACCTCTGCAGCAGCATTAGGCAGTTCTTAACTGTGCAATCGTACGATTATCGGTTACGCTCCCCACTGTTCGTAGCTCGAAAGTATGCGTGAGCGCAGTAAAGATAAGAGCGCTTAAGCTGTGAATATCGTTTAAGAGCGGCTAAAGCTGTGAATATCGTTTACGAGCGGCTAAAGCTGTGAATATCGTTTACGAGCGGCTAGAGCTTGGCATTAAAACTATTGGGGTACCACAAGACGTGAACGAGCATAAAATAATTTTCCCAAATTTCTGCTGGCTACTACACCATTCGTGCACTGCAACAACTCGCCAGGGATGAGTCTTCGTCTTATCCATTGGGCTCGAAAGTCGTTTTGTGGGAAGCCGTTGAAGAAGAGCGGAAGGTCATGCATCAAACCACACAGCACAACTCGTCGTTTGAGAAAGTGGTGCTCGAGCTCTGTAGAAATGCTTCAGGATGTCCCAGATGCCGACAAGGAAACCCTTCTAAAGTTTGACGACGGGAGCGACATTACAAAGACTTTTGGGCTCGTATGGGATCCACGCAGGGACAAGTTCTTATTCACCTTTGCACCCAACATCAGTCTTGGCCGACACACAAAGCGGACTGTGCTATCAGTAATCGCACGGTGTTACGATCCCCTCGGTTTAATCGGACCAACGTTGACAAGGGCGAAGATAATTCTTCAGAAGATGTGGAGAAGCAAGTTGGACTGGGATGAGAGCTTGCCGCAGGCTTTGTAGAATGAATGGACCCAATTCTGTCAGGATGTTGCCGAAGTTGATCGTGCTGAGTTTCCTCGCTACGTTCTGCAAGTTGGAGCCAGGTTCGAAGTGCACGCATTTTGTGATGCCAGTCTCGCTGCGTTTGGAACGTGCAGACCCATCTACGTTGTTCGAAATCTCGGCTGGCACCTCTGAACACGATCGGCATTCACAAGTTAGAGCTCTGTGGTGCCGCGCTTCTTGCGCACTTAGTTAGCGAGGTCTTGAGGATAGAAACGCTCAATTGCAAAGTCTGTGGTGCTTTTGTGGCTGAAGGAAGAGTCTTCGAAATTCATCGTTCCAACAGGGTCGCTGCCATACAGCAGCTGACGCAGGGAATGGAATGGAATTATGTCCCGATCGCGTTAACGCGTTAACTTTAACGTGGTTCGCGTATTTTCAAGTACATCAACTCGTTTGGAACGATGCAACGAATCTTTGGATATGTTTTTAAATTCGTCAAAGGGATTAGGTCACCAAAGCTCACACTCGAGGATATTCGTGGGGGATCCCACATGCTCCTTGACATTGTTCAAAGGGCGTCGTTGCCTCCAGAGTATAAGGCTTTGAGAAAGGAAAGTAAGATCGGTTCTTCAAGGAGCATTGCATTGCTGTCTCCTGTTCTGGACTCGTTTGGATAAATTCGCATAGGTGGACGACTTCAACACTCATCGCTTGATTATGATGCTCGCCATCCAATTATTTTACCGAAGGATCATCCGTTGACGTTTGCCGTCGTTGAGCACTTTCACCGGAAGCATCACCATGCAGGCCCGCAGGCGCTGCTCGGCTTGATTCGGTTGCAGTGTTGGCCGATAGGCGGAATAAAGACGGTTTCTCGCGCATTGCGGAAATGCATCATCTGCAGTAAATACCGGCCTCGCCTCGTGAAGCACATAATGGCAGATTTGCCAAAGGATCGAGAAGTCACCGGCATTCACTGTGACCGGGATTGACTACTGTGGACCCTTCTACTATAAGACAGATGTACGCAATAAGGCTCACAGAAGTGTTACATATAGGTGTTTATTTGCTTCGCCACCAACGCAGTATGGCTGGAGCTGGTAAAGGTTCTGATGACAGCTTCGTTCGGACAATACGGAATGAGCTGGAGGAACTAAAACGCCTGTTCTTGAGCCAGAAGCACATCGACGACGTTCATGCGCACCGCCTGAACAGTGGCTTCGATTGGCGTTTCATCCCACCTCGATCCCCGTACTTTGGCGGGCTTTGGGAGGCTGCTGTCAAAATGACTAAGCGGCACTTTTACACTTCAGTCTGAACAGGCATTCTTGGCTTCGAAGAGCTTCGAACCTTGGTATGCCAAATACAGGGAATAATCAATTCTCGCCCTCTTGTTCCCTTTTCAGAGAATCCAGATGATCTTGGCGTCCTCACTCCGGGCCACTTCCTCATTGGTCGACCCCTTGCATCGTTTCCGGAGCCGGACCTATCGTCGTTAAGCTGCAGTCGGCTGGATCGTTGGAAACACGTCACCCGCATTCAGCAGATGTTCTGGAGAAGGTGGAGCGAGGAGTACTTAACTCTGCTTCAAAGGCGCTCGAAATGGTGGTCCGTGGAGCCGTCCGTCAAGGTGAACGACATCGTTTGCTTCAAGGACGAAGGGCTGCCTCCATTAAAGTGGCCGCTAGCTCGAATCGTCGACGTGGTCCCTGGAGCTGATGGCGTAATCAGAGTTACCGTTCTTCATCTGCGTCCTTCCCGTGGATGCTGATGCGGAAGTCTCAGATGTTCCGTAGGGGGGAGAATATTCGAAGCAGCCATTACATCGAATGCACGCTCGCTCAAGCCCGAGTGCATAGCGTTGAGAGGGCTGAGTGATTTGCATTGCTTTTGAGAGCGGGGGAGTCGAAACCGTGAGAGCAAAGTGAACATACTTATATAGTCCAACGACCCTTGAAAAGAAGCTATGTGTTCAGTAACCCGTTTAAACGATTTCGCGTTCTGACTTTATTTTTTTGGAAATTATTCAAGCGGTCGGAAAAGCGCGACAGCTCACAACAGGGAGAAATTGGACGGACAGAAATTCAAGCAGGCGGAGATGGAATTGGAAGGACTCGAAGTTCAGGACTAGGGGGACATTTGGTAAACACATGCCAAATAGTATGTTCAGGCGAGAAAGAGGGGTCGGAAAAGGGCGACCGCTCACAACAGGGAGAAATTGGACGGACAGAAATTCAAGCAGGCGGAGATGGAATTGGAAGGACTCGAAGTTCAGGACTAGGGGGACGTTTGGTAAACACATGCCAAATAGTATGTTCAGGCGAGAAAGGGGGGTTAGTTAGTTATCTTTATTCGTGTTACTTGTTAATTTACACTTTGATAATGTACTGCCTAGTATAGCCTTGGGTTGATGTACTGCCTAGTTCAGTGTCTTGCGTTCGTGCTGATGACTGCCTAGTGCAGTGTCTTGCGTTCGGCCTGAAGGACTGCCTCTTTCTTTGGGCAACTGGACAAGTGGATAGTGGGTCAGTGGAGTTGAAAAAGTGTTCTGCTGTGACTACATCGCGGCAGGCGCTGGCTGCAGTTGGGAATTGGGTTTAGGATTAGTTTTTGCTAACTCTGCATCGCGGAAGGAGATAGCTGAATTTGGGTCGGTAAACGATAATTTTAGGCTGACGTGAATGGTATCGAAATAACGCAAAGAAGTGGGGGAACCGAGAATTTAGTGCTGTCTTTGCTGATTGCGAAATATGCAAGAGGTGGGTTGTTTTAAATTGGTGTGTGGACAAGAATGGGTAGCGTTGTTGATCAAGAGTTCTTAATTTTAATAATTGTGTGCGTTGCTTAAGACTATTTTATTTTCCGGAGGTGCTGACACACCGCTATTTGTGGAGAACCGTGGGTAGAGCCATGGTTCGTTGGCGACTTTTGAGTCTAGTTTGAATATTGTTTCCGACCAGTGTGGATGCGCTGACACTCCGCTGTTTGTGACGAACCGTGGCTAGAGCCATGGTTGATGTCATGATGACTGATGACATCTTATTTTTGCAAGTTCCTAAAAGGTTTCAATGGTACGTAAAATATGCACAATATTATAGATCATCCATTAAATGTTTTTATGTAATTTACAAATGCATAGAAAAGTATCCAAATGTATTTTATGATATTCCTGGTATGTTTCAACCCCCTCGAAAGTTATATAAATTTGATATATTTTGCCAGCAAACACGATGCAAACATTGTAATATGAGAACAAAAAAACAAATGAAATATTTATATAATGAAAACAAATAGAATCTAATTAATGCAGTATTATATGAATGACAATTATATGGATATTATAATTAATTATTTCTATTAATTTTCATAAATATAAAACAAATATTGCTTTCAAAACATTTTATCTTAACGGTGGTCGGCACGGGAGGCATCGCCATCTGCTGCTGCTGATAGTAAGACAAACTACCTTGCCAATAAAATATTGGGGTTATTGTTATTTTAAACAAAAAAAGCATCTGTCTGAGCAGTGTAACCGTACGGAATGCAGTGCACACCTCTGGTCACACCACTGGCCGCTGGAAGAATATATGAAATTTGACATATGACGAGAAGGAACGTGTGAGTCGCTTCTGGGGACGCGACTCTACTTATACCCGCACTCAGTCAGTATATACATTTTTGAGCTTATGATTTTTAAGAATTTTAGAAGATTGTACATGTTCCAATTAGATTCTACATCTCCTCCGCTAGGGGTTGCTCGCGCACTGAACGCGGCGAGTGTGCGGGCGAGATGGAAAATGAGTTGCGTTGTCGTGGGCGTGATGGGGAGGGGAAGCAACTGAAAATTAATTTCTTCATTCTGGCTATAATTATGATCCGATCTGATTCAGATTCAGCAATCTGGTAGATATAGGCATTCCCTACGATACTGCGTTTTTAGTTTTATTGTATCATTAAAACTGTGCCTGCCACAGATTTTCGTCCTTTGTGTGGGCGGAAGGGGGCGGGGCGAAATTTTGAAATACACTTGTAGCAGTGTGATATCACATGAGTCTGGAAACCAAATTTGGTTTCTCTAGCTCTTATAGTCTCTGAGATCCAGGCGCTCATCAAGACGGACGGACAGACGGACGGACAGACGGACATGGCAATATAGACTCGGCTATTGATGCTGATCAAGAATATATATACTTTATGGGGTCGGAAACGTTTCCTTCTCTGCGTTGCACACATCCACTTTTACCACAAATCTAATATACCCCTTAACTCTTTTTTGAGTACGGGTATAAAAATGGGAATTATTTTATATTATTTTGAAACTGATATTTTGAGTAATTTTTTTAGAGTATAAATAAACTTTTTAATTTTGAACAATCTTTGTATTATTTCGCTAAAAAAATAGCGTTTAATATAATTTTTTTAGTAATAAATATTTGAGCCCGATACTATCGGGTTCTTTTAAAACATTCAAAACAATCGATTTATCGTCTATCAATCGTGTGACGCCCAGCGCTACAAATATACACCGGCCAGCATTCAAATTCGCGCTCTAACCCATTATGTCCCTGACACAACTACAAACGGGCACACTAACAGACGATCGAACAATGTGACCCTGACGCAACCACAACCACGTGCGAACGAGGCGGTGATTACACTAGTCAACACGATTTTTCCTCAAAGAACAAAACGAACTTTTTCTTAAAGATTTGGGGCTTAGAAATGGTTTGATGATATTTTTTTTTTTTCTATGGCAGAACTTTTTTTTGAAGAATTTTTGAAATCTGGTATTTTTTTTTAAGCTTTTTTCAGAGGTACGCTTGTTTTTTCACATAGCTCTAGTATCTTACGTCTGGTTGTAAAGAACTTTGCTATTTTGAAAAGGTTATTAAAACAGCTAGAAGTTAAACCCAAATACTTTGTGATTTCAGCTTACCGTCTGGGAAATATAAAGCATTGAAATGCAAAAATGATGATTTTTGTGCGGTATTTTTCACGAAATTTTGACTTTAAAAACTCAGGAAAAGTGAAAAAAAATTATATCTTCTGTCCTCTATTTTTCGTGTATAGGTGCGTTAATTGGCGTCGTTTAAGGTATCGCTCATTAAAATCTATGGAGAGACTTTAGAGCTAAAATTCGTTAACCAAACCTAAAATATGAAAAAAATGAACAAAAAATACCTTTTGGAAGGTTGTGGGCTCAACTGCCCATTGCAATGGGCCAATGCATTGGGAACAAAGGAACGCGATCAGGTACCAAATGTACAACCCTTGTTCGTTTGCTTTGTTCCCAATTGGCAGTTGGGCCCGCAACCTTCCAAAAGGTATTTTTTGTTCATTTTGTTCATTTTTTTCATATTTTAGGTTTGGTTAACGAATTTTAGCTCCAAAGTCTCTCCATAGATTTTAATGAGCGATACCTTAAACGACGCCAAATTAACGCACCTATACACGAAAAATAGAAGACACAAGATATAATTTTTTTTCGACTTTTCCTGAGTTTTTAAAGTCAAAATTTCGTGAAAAACACCGCACAAAAATCATCATTTTTGCATTTCAATGTTTATATTTCCCAGATGGAATGTAATCACAAAGTGTTTGGGCTTAACTTCTAGCTGTTTTAATTATCTTTTCAAAATAGCAAAGTTCTTTACAACCAGTCGTAATATACTAAGCTATGTGAAAAAACAAGCGCTACCTTAAAAAAAGCTTTAAAAAAAATACCAGACTTCAAAAATTCTTCAAAAAAAAGTTCTGCCATAGAAAAAAAACCATAATTCTTTAAAAAATTTTAAATCCCCATATCTATCAGAAAAAGTCGGTTTGGATCCTTGAGGAAAAAAAAAGTTCGATTTTGTCGAGTAGTGTTATCATTAACATTCAACATTCAAACTGTACTTTTAAGATTAATACAAATAACTATCTACTTATGCCACCTTACTCGTGTCGCCTTTTTCTTGCACCTAGAGACCTTTTCTTTCAGCTAACACATCCAGAGATCAAACAAATTTCTGTGAACCCTTGCGCAGCGAGCATACCCCGGCCGAATTGCCGTCACAATCGTTTGACAGCTCTAGGGGGCAGACTGTTGTTACGTTTCTTTCACTTGGCGACTCAGTTAAAGTATTAAGATTTTTTAAGTGAGAAAGAAACTATTCCTCTAACAGTCGGAATAAAGAGTTGACGGCCGCGAATACATTATGAGTTTGTCTCATAAAAACTCCCATGTCGCTTTCAATCAGCCTGCAGTCCCAGCATGTCCAATTAAGGTCACAGCGAGACTTCATCAAGTCGACTACGCGTCCACCAAGTTGACCGAGGCCAGCGCATACCGTGTGTGCCATGTTGTCACACACCCAGCAGTAGGTGAAAATTTTCTTTAGGACTACCGAGCGGCACTCTTTAGCACAGCAAGAACTGATTATAATAGTGTAGACCCAAAAAAAGTAAGTAAGGAAAAGGTAACAATGAAGTCGGTGTAAAGTCTTCAGCTGTTTTTCGCGTTTGTAACACTGAGATAAGCGCACAGGCGTTTGCCGATGGCCGCTCGAAACGCAGTTAGCTTAATCAAAGCGATAAAAGCTTAAACAAATATTAAAAGTTAATGGGTGATAATATGAAGATCAAAAGTACTTTACCATTTATGCGCAGACCTACTTAATATACGGAAAAAAAATTCATGAAAATCGGTCGAGCCGCTTTGGAGGAGTTCAAACACAAACACCGTGCCACAAGATTTATATATATATATATATATAGATATTTTATTATTATTATATTATTCATAATTAATTACTTACCTGAAACATATTTGGAGTACTTGCCGATGAGAAATTAAATGATTTAAAGAGGTGTATTTCTGGATCGAAATGGCCCATATAAGCTTTTATCATTACTGTCTTAGCAGTACCCTGCTCACCAATCAAAAGCACCTGCTTTAGCTGCTTAGCACTATTGTTTAAGAGAAATGCAGTTCGTACATTATCTACGTTTGGCACTAAAATAGATGCAAACTCTAGAGATTCATCCTCGGGATATCGAAATTCTTCCACACGCGTATTCCAATGCTGCCAATTTCCACTTTCGTCTACATAGTACTCAAATATGGTTTCATTTATACCCCTTTTGGGCCAACCTTTGTAATCAAATGAAAAGGAACGTGTGAGTCGCTTCTGTGGACGCTGTGCTACTTTTATACCCATACTCAGTCAGTATATAAATATGTGAGGTAATAAGCTCACCGAATTATAATTTAAAAATATTTTAGGTTTACATTTTTTTTTGCTACATCTACAATGTTGATTACACATCTAAAATATAGATTCTCCATACACAATGTAGATTCTACATATTCTCCTAGGGCAGAGTGTGTGTGAGCGGAAGTGGAAGAGGCGGGGTAATCAACTGAAAATTCATTTATTTACTCTAGCTATAATAATGATTCGATCTGATTCAGATTCGGAAATCTGGCAGATATGGTCATTCCCTACGATACTGCGTTTTTATTTTTATCGTATCTTTAAAATTGTGGCTGCCACAGATTTTCGTCCTTTGTAGTTGTGGAAGGGGGCAGTCGAAATTTTGAAATACACTTGTAGCAGATGTCACATGAGTCTGGAAACATAATTTGGTGTCTCTAGCTCTCATAGTCTCTGAGAACTAGGCGACAAACCAGATGGACAGAATCACAGACAGACGAACATGGTTATATCGAAATGGCTATTGATGCTAATCAAGAATAAATGTTCTTTATGGGGTCGGAAACGTTTCCTTCTCTGCGTTACACACATCCACTTTTACCACAAACCTAATATACTCCTTAACTCTTTGAGTACGGGTATAAATTAACTGATATATGGAAGAAACATTTAGTTTTAAAATTAATGAAAACTTACGTAATTTAGATGGATGTTTAACAAGAAACTCTTCCAGTTTTTCTCGCTCGGAAATCTCAAGAACGGCTCCAAGAGACCACATCATCGAAAACAAAAATACACGTTCAATGGACTTTTCAGAATAAATTGACATATCCATTAACAAGCCATCCATGATATCCAACATTTGTCTAATATATATAGCTTCTAGTATTCTCATCTTTGTCGAAAGTCGTGACTGTAAAAAGATATGAGCATCATCATAAAGGCAATCGTAGCACCGTCTAAATATTTCACTGTTATCCCCCTGTTTCATTAACCAAGCCTCCATGTAAACTCTCCAGCTCAATACGGACGAGCTTGTAAATACCATACCGACACGACTAACTGTAGCTGGTGATGCGTTATCAACATTATCAGGCTCAAAAACCAATTTTGAGTTGTCTGCCATTTTAATCCGATCGCCGTTTGCAAGAGTAAGTGTCTTATTATCGTCTAACACCGAATTTAAATTCTCAATCCAAACTGCGTCAACTGGGCCGTCCAATACAATCCAGCAATTTTGATGATGGGGAACCTTTAATGAACGACGCCAGAGTGTTGAAAAAATGCCATCTGTCCAATCATTAGTGGCCACGTCCAAACGACCAAACATTTGTGGCGCAGTTATAGCTTTCGGGTTCATTCTCATTTCCTTATGGAGTCGGCCCATCTCTGTAAAACAACGAAGCATGCAGTTAGTGCAACTAGTTTTGCCTGAACCGGTGGGTCCCATTAACATTAGTCCATGCCGTACTAAAGAAGTCTCATATAACTGCACGACCTTTAGGTTCCACTCAGGATTATTGACATAGCCTAGTTCATCACAAGCCTTCATAATAGACTTTTGCAGTTCTTTGTATACATTTGTAGTTAATTTTATACCTGGAAACATATCTTCTACTAGCGAAACAAAGAGTCCTTCATCTTCGTCAATAAGTTTTGAAACATTCATATCACGCAAAACACGCATCACTATGGTTTCCTCAGTATCACTTGGATTAGACCTTTTCTGGGAACCAAGTGTCCGAAGCACAGATAATATATTGCGAAGTCCAAAATCATAATGAACCTGCTTTGATAATTGTTCTTCGCACAATTTGTATAAGGTAAACATCTTTCGTGATAGTACAACATTTTCTTTAAATCCACAACTAGCCATTTTAACTCTTATAATTATCTGACGATCCGGTACCATCATGGCTACCGTGCGAAACATTATTTTCAGATTTTCAGGTAACTCCTGACGACCAGCATACCCTGGATTCATGGTTATAAATATGCCGAATTCCGGATTTAATGAAACGACATCACCATCTAAAAATATGAACGTAGACCTTTTCTCCTTCCGAGCTGTTAAAACAATGCTTTAGAAAGTATAGAGCTTTAATATTTTGTATGCATAAACAAAAATGTAATAATCGGACTTACTAAATTTGCTGTGCTGCAACAGAAAGGACTGGTAGCTCAATGCGATTAAATTCGTCGAAGCATCCCCAAGAACCAGACTGTGCTAATCCTTTATAGATACGACCTAGCCCACGAAAATCCATTTGATCCGAACAATTAAAAACAACAACAAGTTTACCCAATGCGCGACCCATGTCTTTTGTTGTTTCGGTCTTCCCTGTTCCTGCAGGACCAGCAGGTGCACCTCCCATACACATACCTACAGCCTGAGCTAGTGTTATATAACACCGATCTGTCAGGGGAGTTATTGCCAGGCGTTCAGTTACGCCAAGATACTCGTTTTGATATATAAAATTTACGTCTGTTATTCCTACAACAATTTCATCATTATCTTCATTATAATAAAAACGTGCTTGTTTCTGCCATTCAAAGTCTCCTGTAAATTTAACACGCTGCGTACACAAGTCGTCAAAAATGTCCCGCTGATGAACGTGAATGGTAACCATAGTCTCAAACCGTATTCGATCCAGGGAAGTTAGATCCTTTACAGTTAAATCAATGAAGAAGTTTAAAAGAACTAAAAACTTATTATTTGTACGTTTCATTATTGTCTTATCAGTACGACATTTCCGTAAAGCGTATTCAGAGTCTTTTGTCCACAGAAGTTGCACGCCTATCACTCCCGCTTGGCCACAGAATGTTGGGAACTCTTCAGCAAAATTGAATTCGGGATCATTTAAGCTTACAGCCATACTAGCAAGTACTGTTCGCATAGTATCTTGCATTTCTTTTAGTAAACGACCTAGCCAAAGCTCCACGCTACCTGCACATTGTACGGTATTTTCAAATTTTACTTTCTCACGATTCATGGAATTCATAGATTCAATAATGTCAATTGTTTTATCCTGAAAGTCAACAGTAGCGATCGCATCAAATATACTTAACAGGTGTGGTTGTATCGACGTTGGATCGGAGGCTTGGCCAAGAATCTCCAACAAAACAGGATCGGAAACAAAAAAAAAACGTGGAAAAAGTAAACGCTTGGATTCCAAATATCCTGTTAAACTTTTCTGACATGTTTCGAGCTGATCTAATAGCCATGTTAGATTCGTAGTGAGCGATTCGTCCCCTGTGCAGCAGTCGACGGCGTTTGGTATTTCCCGTGCACGCATCATAATCTTAACATAACTTTTATCTATATTCGTAAAACGTTTGGCTTCCATAGGCAATTGCTTTGATATATCTCCTCCAACAAAAACGGCTTCTAAATAAATCCAAAGATTTTGCACCATTAGCCATTTTTCCAATATATCTCCAGTGTTTACTAGCTTAAAAAGCCATAGTTGTATCTCCTTTTTAAAAGGCGCGTTATATCTATTTGATGCTAAGGAGTTCATTATCATAAGACTGTCCTCTAACGTTGAAATTATTTCCAATGTTTCGGCTCCCTTAAGAACAAGCTCTCCCCTATTTTTGAACTGTCCTAGTTGTAAATTAACTAGAGACCAATCGTAAATAATCTGTTTAAGCTTAGCTTCTATATCCAACTCTTTACTTGCGCCTACACAAATATCCTCGACATCTTCTTTGTATTTTAGAATTGGTGCTTCAAGTAATTTTCCAAGAGTAAATTTTTGACTAGTCGGATCAAAATCGGTTTTAAAAAGTGCGTTTAAACGAACCCAATGTCTTTCTTTCATTGCCTTATTCGTCATTAGTTCGAGCAGTGGGCAAGTCTCATTAAAATCATCAATTTTTGTTTTTAGATCAATAAAGGCGGGCCATGACTGCATTCCTTTAGGTAGCTTTCGGCAGCGTAGCTGAAAATCAGCCAGTTCAGCACTAATTTTTTCAATATTTACATCAGCCCATGGCATTTCATAATAGTCTGATATTGTCTTCAACACTTGAATATATAATGAGTAAAGTCGATTAAGGTAATTGAACTCGCGCTTACGCTGGTGAAGCAATGGGTACTCAGTAATTGGCAATCCAAAGAGTTTTTCTCCACTACTATACATTTCATATTTTCTCCAAAGCTCATCAAAACGATTCTGAAAGAGAAAAACTCGATCGCTTGCCTCTTTGGCAGAAATTCCTTCGACCATTGGACCATTTGCCTCAAAGTCACTATTAAACTCATCAAATTCTTGAACAAATGTAGATATACCATCGTTCAGTTCTCTTAAAAGCGGTTCTTCCATTTCTGATATCCGATCCGAAACCTTTTTTGCCTGTAGCGTAGGACTAGTAAGAATTTTAAGATTTATAACTATAGAACACTCACATTTTCTAACATTTTGTTGAACATAATCTGAAGTCCTTCAACTTTATCGTAATCTTCTTGTGGAACAAATATAATAAAATGAGAGAAGAGAGCATACGTGTCTGTTATCAAATGCAGATTTAAGTCCATTCTGCAATGAGATATTAATACAACTTTGATTAACATTCCTATTCCCACAAGTTCAAATATTTATAAAAAATTTGTTTATTATTGTCAGGAGAATCTATATACCATCTATATATGTCCGCATCGCGTTGACAGGCAGAGTTTGTGGCATGGTTTTTATAAAAGCGAGAAGGAACGTGTTTGTAGTAGGGCGTTAACAAATCGGTTTATTGTAGAGGTGGAAAAACATCGATGTTTGGAGACATCGATGTTTTCGATGTTTTAGTGAAAAACATCGATGAAACATCGATGTTTTGCAAGATAAAAATAAAAAAAAACAAAATATCAAGGAAACTGCAAAGCATATGATTAAAATTATAAAAAATAACAGTTTTATATCATTTGAGATCAAGAGTTCCGAAATCCATTCACAAATATATGCATATACATATATAAAAAAAGTACATTTTCCAGATTATATCTTAAAATAAGTCTTGATTCTTGTTGAGAAATAATAATTGGTCCACCAGTTCCGGCTTAAGGTGACTACGACGATCGGAAATAATTTGCCCACCCTTGCTGAACATCCTCTCCGACTCGTATGATGGGCATAGCGACATATCTCAGGGCGACATGTCTCCTGGCAGGCCCTTACGACATATCTCCGCACGGAGATTTTGAAACGACATACATATCTCCTCGCGGAGTTTGGGGTCATATCTCCGCCCAGAATTTAGCGACATGTCTCCTGCTAGAAGATATGTCGCCCGGAGATATGTCGTTACCCCGTAGGATGTTGCCGGGACGCACAAATATTTTTGGGATACAGCTTTAAATGGCATCTGCCGTCTGTATTTATCTAAAAATGTAACCATTTGAGCTTCATCTCTTCTCTCTTTAGGTTTTTATACCCGTACTCAAAAAAGAGTTAAGGGGTATATTAGATTTGTGGTAAAAGTGGATGTGTGTAACGCAGAGAAGGAAACGTTTCCGACCCCATAAAGTATATATATTCTTGATCAGCATCAATAGCCGAGTCGATAGAGCCATGTCTGTCTGTCCGTCTTGTTTGACGCCTGGAACTTAGAGACTATAAAAGCTAGAGGAACCAAATTTGGTTTCCAGACTCATGTGATATCACACTGCTACAAGTGTATCTCAAAATTTGCCCCGCCCCCTTCCGCCACCACAAAGAACGAAAATCTGTGGCAGCCACAATTTTAAAGATACGATACCAGATCCAGATACCAGATACGATCTACCAGATTGCCGAATCTGAATCAGATCGGATCATAGTTATAGCCAGAATGAAGAAATTAATTTTCTATTGCTTCCCCTGCCCCCTCCTGCCAGACACACGCTACTTATTCTCTTTCTCGCTCGCACACTCTGCCGCGTTCAGTGCGCGAGCAACCACTAGCGGAGGAGATGTAGAATCTAAATGGTACATGTACAATCTACATGTTAGATGTAGAATATACATTGTATATGTAGATGTTGATAGCAGATGTAGCAAAAAAATGTAAAATGTAATATTTTTTTTTCTAAAATTCTAAAAAATCATAAGCTCAAAAATGTATATACTGACTGAGTACGGGTATAAGTAGAGTCGCGTCCCCAGAAGCGACTCACACGTTCCTTCTCGTTCTGTTATACCACTAACCATACAGTATATAGATGTGCCAGTTCATACAACGAAAGGGGCGCAGCTGAGGTTTCTGTCCCAGCACCCCCAGGTCTTCGGCTAGGGTGCTGGGACCATTCGGCTGTGGTGCTGAGGCGTTCGGGTCGTGGGCCTGAGACGTTCGGCATTTTTTCGACATGTTCGATTCATGACGAGATGCGAAAGCAAGCTGAGAATTGCAAATGTATGTGTGTAAACAGACACGACAAAATTTTGTATCAATTCCCTGCAGTACCAGAAGTGAGCGATGACAAATGTCAACTACGCGTCATTCAGGATTTTTTCTCTGCCGCTGCAACAGACGAGTAGAATATGACGTCGACGTCGCGATCGACGCGTCGGTCAGACCAAACTCTTTTTTTTCTTTGTTTCTTTCTGTTACGACGCGTGCCGTAACAGAATTCGGTTTTGCCGTCGGCGTCGACAACGTTGTTAGAATTGTGCCGCGAAAAGTGAGACGCAGATTTTGTTTATTTTGGGCAAAATTATTATCAGGTAAGTGCAGTGTTTCTTTTAATTAAAAATAGTCTATTGTGCGTTGTAAAAAATGAAGAAAATGTGATATTGCGAAATTAAATGCGTTTTGGACGAAATTTTTCATTTCCAACAACGAAAACAAAAAAAAAAACAACCCGAGTGGTTCTTGCGAGTCTTGAGTGGTACAGGTATGTCGAGTGTTTTGTTTTTGGCGCAAATGCACTGCTGATCTACTGAGAGCATTGTTAACAAATTGAAAAATATTTTAATTAACCCATCTTTTTTTAAAGGCGATTCAGTTGAACATGAGAAAATCAAAAAAACTAAAAAGGTTCTGTGGAAAAAAGAACACACAGCACACAAATGTGAATATGTATACATTTTTATAAGAAAACAATAAATAAAAGAAATTTTATATTTTAAAACAGAATTTACCCATGCCTTTTTCATCAAAAAAACAAAATTTTTTACTTAAATACATCACTTATTAGGGCCTTACTTTTTAAGGGAAATTCATCGCTTATTAAGGCCTTACTTCTCAAGGGAAATTCATCGCTTATTAAGGCCTTACTTTTCAAGGGAAATTCATCGCTTATTAAGGCCTTATTTTTTAAGGGAAATTCATCGCTTATTAAGGCCTGACTTTCGGCTAATTCTCGCTTACTATGTCATCGATTATGCTCCTAGGACATCCCTGTGTTAAAGTAAACAGCCCATCGTATGGCAGGTCATCGCTTATGTCATCGAGCTGCATGACGTTGCCATCGATGTGTGGTTGCTTACACATCGCTTACCCGTACTGCAGGGTTCTTATTTTCCGAAACAGTTTTGAGTTTCGTTTCCAGGTTACGTAAATGTGTGTGTGCCATGTATTCACACATACTGTGCTTGTGTGAGGGCTTTACAATTGTTGGCCGCTTGAATTGGTTTTTCGTTTTGTTTTAAGGGCTGATGTGATGTAGCGACCTATTCAGGGCCGGATCAACCCTCAACCGGGCCCTGGGCAACCATCAATCTGGGGCCCTCCTCTATTTTGTATTTTTTTCAGTGGCTATTATATATTTTATTCATTATTTGGAGTTTTGTTTTTTTAACAAAATTTTTCTGTTATTTCTAGGAGGGCCCTAGGCAACTGCTAATCCGGCCCTGGACCTATTCCCGTCGTAAGACTTCATATTTTCTTGGTGTGTTCTGTCGCTCGACTCGACGCGGGTCGGGTCGAGGCATTGACGAAGCCGTTCATAAAATATTTTTTCGTTTTGTTTTGAAAAGTTGATGTTGCGTTTGGAAACGAAACTCAAAACTGTTTCGGAAAATAAGAATTGATACAAAATTTTGTCGTGTCTGTTTACACACATACATTTGCAATTCTCAGCTTGCTTTCGCATCTCGTCATGAATCGAACATGTCGAAAAAATGCCGAACGTCTCAGGCCCACGACCCGAACGCCTCAGCACCACAGCCGAATGGTCCCAGCACCCTAGCCGAAGACCTGGGGGTGCTGGGACAGAAACCTCAGCTGCGCCCCTTTCGTTGTATGAACTGGCACATCTATATACTGTATGGTTAGTGGTTATACATAGACGACAAAAACATAAAAAGAAAACATCGATATTCCCCAAAAAACATCGATGCTTATAAAAGTTTTAAAAACATCGATGCATCGATAGTAGCATCGATGTTCTTCCACCTCTAGTTTATTGGGCACTCGAAACGGCGCGGTTGTTTGATTATATGTGTGTATGTATGTGGGTGTGAATATAAAACGATTCTATGTATCGACGCGTACCGGAATGTACGGGGGTGGGTAGAATACTAAACTCCCGCTTAGTGAGCTGGCTGCCCGCCAACTCGCTAGCGCCAGGCAAGAGAGAGCGCGCTCCGGCTGTTAACAACAGCCCCCTGCCAACTCGCTGCTGCTACTCTCAACATCCTCCCCCCCCCTTGCAGGACTGCAATGGAGAACCTCTATGGCTGAGTGCACGCCCCAGAAACAATCCATCCGAATACGGTGCTTTGGGCCACGGGAAGACCTTCTCCTAGGGCGAGGAACCCGGATTGGATCACCTTCTGGTAAACGTCGGCGCCGAGCACGAGGGAGACAGTGGATGGGCGATGGAAGCGCTCGTTGGCGAGGCGAATGTCGTCGAAACGGGTTCGCACCGCCTCGGTCACGGGGCGTAGTGGCGTGCGGACGCGCAGGCGGGGCTCGACCTTCAGCACTGCGTCCACTTGGAAGTTTCCATTCTTGGCGCGGACAGTCGCAGTGCACACCTTTTCGGTGCCAACCCGCGTGGTGGGCAGTTTGAAGGCGATGGCCAATGACTCGTCGATGCTGCTCACTGGGGTACAGGGGTCTATAAGAGCCACTGTCTCAAAAGTTCTGGAACCCGTATCTAAGACCACCAGGGCCGTCGGGGAGAACGTTGATGCTCCGGTTCTGGAGGAGCGTAGCCACGGATGGTGCCGGATCTTCCACGACGGGGCGGCTTTCGGGGAGACGACGGCGTCGTTCAACGCTAGAGGCTGGAGCCGCCGGAGGGGCTGGTCCGGAAGCGCGGCCTGAACGCTGGGACGCACGGTTGTGGAGTAGCGTGTGGTGGTTCCCACCGCACACTTTGCAGCCCTTGGTACTGCGGCAGTCTCTGCCGGAGTGCCGATGAGCCAGGCAATTAGCGCAGTACTTGTTAATCAAGACGGCTCGGAGTCTCTTCTCGGCGTCCAGGCGAAGAAAGCGTCGGCAGGCACGGAGCGGATGGCTTCCGGAGCAGACTCGGCAACGGTAGGAGTTACTACCTCGAGAACGTCTACTCTCCGAAGTGCGGGTGTTACGAGACCGTGGAGTCATCTCTAAATACGGAAACTATGGCGAAAGAAGAAGACAAAGAATAGGAGACGGGTTAGTAACGGGATAGGAAGCGGGGGACGCGCACGCTCTTCGTTAAGGTTGGATGGAGCGAGGAGGTTCTACGGACAGAAGAACGACCTTTGCGACGGGCCTTTTGAGGACCCCCCGTGCAGTGAGGATGTCGACTACACGGACCCGATCGTCGGCGCCGGGGTACACGGAATGGATTCGTCCGAGACGCCATTCATTAGACGGCAAGTTGTCTTCCTTGACGACGACCATATCACCAATCTGCAGATTGGGCGTGGGCGTTTGCCATTTGGTCCGCTTGTGGAGTTCCTTGAGGTATTCCTCTTTCCACCTACGACAGAACTGTTGGTTGAGTGCCTTCAGATGTTGCCATCGATTTATGATCGAGGTGAGGTCACCCTTAACTTCTGGCTCCGCCGTCGCCATTAAGGGTCCCCCCGTAAGGAAATGCCCGGGAGTTAGGGCCAGTAACTCCGTCGGATCTTCGGACATAGGCGAGAGCGGTCTGGAATTAAGGCACGCCTCTATTTTCGAGAGAAGCGTGGAGAGCTCCTCGAAGGTGTATCTACGAGTGGACGTGGCCTTATAGAACAGGGTTTTGAAGCTCTTCACTCCGGCTTCCCAAAGTCCCCCCATATGTGGGGCCCCTGGGTGGGATGAATTTCCACGAGACCCTTTGGTGACTATACGCATCAATCACAGAGTCCTTAAATGCTTCTAGGAAATCACGGGCCAGTACTGTGGCTGCGCCCACAAAGGTCTTGCCGTTATCGGAGTGGATACTCTGTGGACAGCCTCGTCTCGCGACGAACCGCGCGAAGGCAGCGAGAAATTTCTCGGTGGTGAGGTCGGACGTGGGCTCCAAATGAATAGCCTTCGTGGAGAAACACACGAACACGCACACATACCCCTTGGTAATAAGGCACGCCCGCCCTGTGTAGTTGCGGATTTCGAAGGGACCGGCGTAGTCAATTCCGGTGTGCGTGAAAGGTCGGGAGAATGAAGTTCGCTCCTGGGGAGATCCCCCATCAGTTGAGTTTGCAACTTCCTTTTGTGGATAAAGCACACTTTGCAAGAGTTCACGACACCCTTCATCAGCTTCTGAATCCGTGGAATCCAATACTTGGATCGGATAAGTCGCACCATCAATTGGCTGCCCCCGTGAAGAGTGATCCGGTGTGTGAACTGCGTGAGGAGTCGCGACAAACGACAGTTATACGGAAGAATTATGGGATGTCGCTCGACATACTTCAGCCCTTGCGCCGTAGATACACGGCCGCAGGAGCGTATGACCCCATGTTGATCCATAAACGGATTCAAATTCAGGATAGAACTTGATCGAGGCACTGGACGCTTCTCACGTAAGGAGTGATACTCTTGAGAATATTCTCGGCGCTGAGTTTCTAGGATAAGAGTGCGTTCAGCCTCGTTAATTTCTCCGCTTGTAGGATGGATCTCCTGTGCGTACGGTAGTTTTCGGCAGCGCTGTAGGAAACGCAGGACGTACGCGCGGACTCGTAGAGCTTTTTCAAGCGTGGAGAATCGCTCGAGGAAGTCTTCGGGTGGGCTGGTTGTGAAATGGACTTTCACAGCCCGCTGCTCGAGGTCTATGACGGGGGTTTCCTGATCTTGGAGCGGCCATTGAGAGCGTGGTTGCTGTAACCACGAGGGCCCATGTCACCAGAGATGGTTGTCAACCAGATCCTGTAGAGGAACCCCCCGACTGGCTAAATCCGCCGGGTTGTGCTCGGAGCGCACATGAGACCACTTTTGGGTCTCGGTGGTTTGAGCGATTTTCGTCACTCGATTGGCCACGAAGGTGGTCCAATGGCATGCAGGCTTGTTCAACCAGGCGAGAACGATTGTGGAATCTGTCCAGTAGTAACAGGTAGACCCTGTCGTCGGCATACTTGGCAGGATAGCCGTCGCCATTTCGGCTAGAAGCACGGCCCCGCACAGCTCTAACCGGGGAAGCGATACGGTTTTTACGGGCGCAACTCGTGTCTTCGCTGCCAGTAGATGCACGTCGATACGCTGGCCCATCTCAACGCGAACGTAAATCGCGGCGCCGTAAGCCTTTTCTGAGGCATCACAGAACCCATGGTGCTCCACCTTAACGGATGGCTGGGAACCAATCCACCTTGGGATACGGATCTTGGTGAGACAGGAGTAGCTACGCAGGAAGGCTTGCCAGTATTGACACAGTTCGTTCGGAAGCTTCTCGTCCCACTCCAGTTCCTGCAACCAAATTTCCTGCATGAAGATCTTGGAGCGGACGATGAACGGTGCCAGCCACCCTGCAGGATCAAACAGTTTCGCTATCTGCGAGAGGACTTCTCGCTTGGTGAAGGATGACTCAAGCGAGAGCACCGGAGGAACAAAGAAGAACTTGTCGGAGGTCGCTTTTCAGCGAATGCCGAGGGTCTTTGCCGTGCTCTGTGCGTCAATCTCCAGGAAATCAGTGTGGAGGAGGTGGTCACTCGGAATCTCGGCCAATACGTCCTTGTGGTTGGCTGTCCACTTTCGTAGCGGAAAACCTGACGAACTGAGGGCGGCCTGTAATTCGCGGATGGCTAGCTGAGCATCCTGTGTGGAGTCAGCGCCGGCGAGGACATCGTCGACGTACATAAGGTGCCGAATGATATGACTAGCCCTGGGGAATTGCGATTGGACGTCGTTGGAAAGCTGTTGGAGAACTCGAATGGCGAGAAAGGGGGCGCAGTTGACGCCAAAGGTGACGGTTTTCAATTCGTAATCACGAATTTCCCCCTCTGCGTTTCGAAACAAGATTCTCTGGAAACGAGTGTGTTCTGGATCCACCCAAATCTGACGGTACATTTTGGTGATGTCGGCGTTGAACGCATATCGGAAGTAGCGCCATTTCAGAATCTGAAGGGTCAAATCGGATTGTAGGACCGGGCCCGCGTGAAGGAGGTCATTCAAGCTCGTTCCGTTCGCGGATGGGCTGGATGCGTTAAACACCACACGAAGCTTCGTTGTAGTGCTATCGGGTTTGATTACTGCGTGGTGAGGGAGATAGTAGTTGTTGGAGTCGTGGCTCGGAGGGACCTCTGTCATGTGGCCCAGATCTGAGTATTCTTGGATTACGGAAACGTACTGTTCGTGCAACGGCGAATCTCTCTTCAGCCGATTCTCGTTCCTTAAGAACTGGGCTAGAGCGATGGACCTTGAATACCCTAGGCCAGACCCGAGATGACCCGGGTCGCGGAATGGTAGGGTTACCATGTATTTTCCGCTTGTTGCCCTCGTGGTGGTTTGTAGGAAGTTGCTTTCGCAATAGGAATCGGACTCTCCTACTAACTTGGTTGGTAGATCCTCCACCTCCCAAAACTTTGTGAGGAGCTTGTCTAATGGAGCATCGAGGGACGTTGGACACTTGTGTGGAGAAAGATGCGATTCGGTTCGGGGGGGCACTGGGCACCGGACCAGTAAGCAACCACCCGAAAATCGTTTCCTGCCCAAGGAGAGAGCCACAAATGTCGGTCTGTGAACCGCTCAGAAGGATGGAGGGAAGGATATCGGCTCCGATCAGGACATCTATCTGCGAGCTCTCATAGAAGGTGGGATCAGCTAATGGCAGGTTCGGCAAATCTCGCAACGCACTTAGCGGAATTGGATATGAAGGGAGATTGCCTGCTAGTTCCGGCAATACGTAAGCCGCGGCTTTCAACTGCAAGCCCGGCTTAGTCGGGGAACGAATGGAAAAGTGGCAGAGCTTCTTGGACTGAGCTGCTACCGACTGACTCAGGCCTGAGACTTGTGCCTGAATAAGGCGGAATGGTAGTTTGATGATGTTAAAAAGCCGTTCCGTAATGAACGTAGCCTCGGAGCCCGAGTCGATTAGAGCGCGGGCGCGGAAATTTGTCCCCAGGTGGCAAATGTTAATTATTGCCGTGCCTAGAAGAACGGGCCTGGTGCCCGAGGTGAAATAATTTTGCACGGTGGGCTGAGCGTCGGACGAATTGGAAATTTGCGCGGATGTGGACGACTCACTGGAGGCAGGAGTACCGCGATGCAGCAGTGTATGGTGACGGGCTCCACACGTGAAACAATTGTGGGCGCCTCAAATTCAGCATCCACCTTGGCCCACATGTTTTTGAGCTGGTCACGACGGACCTGTGAGACCGCGGAGGATGGGGTGGCGGTCCCTGGAGTGGTGAGCCGTGCCTCCAAGGTGGTCAGCCTATCGATGGCTGCCACAAACTTGGCCCGTGCGGAGGTGACAATCGGCTGTGCCATTGGAAGTGTGGAGCGAGGATCGACTAGTTGCGGGTATGGAGGCGAAAGCACCTTAGTCGTGATCGGCGAAGGAAACAGCACCGATTTGGTCGTCGCCGCCGTGGCACTCGTGGAAGCCCTTGGAGTACCTAAGGACCTTGCCCTTTGAGTCCCCGAGGTCGGCGTTGATGGCACGGATGAGCTAGATGGCCTTGATCTACCAGGCGTAGGCACCGCCAAAAACTTCTTGTTGTCTTCCACACCTGTTGGCATACTAAGAAGGACCGCACGCGGAAGCACAAATGAACGCCAAATGAGGACTGTGCGGATAAAGCGGAAATGGACACCACACCAGAGGCAGAACAACAAGGAATTGTTTTCCTGTCGAGCACGACTATCGGACGATATTCCTCAAGAAAATTGATATTTTCTTATTGGCAGTGGTTTTAATGCACGAAAAAGTCGAAAACGGAATCAGCACTAGACTACGATATTTGATATATCGGTATTGGATTTTATTTCGTCGTAGTGGGTGATGTGTAAGACGATCTTAGAGCGAAAACGGAAGTGTTCGGGAAAACTATCGGATGATATGACGCAAGAAAAAAGGATATTTTTCTTGTTCCCCGCGGTTTTGGCGCACAAAAGAATCACAATCGGGATCCGCACTAGACTACGATATGTTTAAATATCGGTACTGGAATGGATTTAGTCGTAGTGGGCGATGGACAAGGTGATTTGCGAAAAAATATTAACTACTCGATGGATACGAGGCCCGTGAGCGATATTTTTATTTTTGCCACCACTAGGTTTTTTTTTGGTTTGTCACCTCTAGTTTTTTTGGCAATTTGGAATTTGGCGCGGAAAAATGCAAAAAAGACTGCGGAAATGAGCTGTGCCTCTTGTTGGATGAATTTATCCCGGATGTGGGGGAAATTGCTCGGGCTGTGGGTCACTTTAGGGGCGCCTGGAATGCTTAAATTCTTGGTAATTGCGAAATTTGCATAAGCAGCGGAGTGCTGGTACCGCGTATCGGACGAACGCGTTCGTGCCTACATATAATAAGTGTGGTATGTAGATGTGGAGTAATCGGTATTTTTTAGGTATTTTTCCACCGGGATTAATGAGGTTTATTATTTATGAGAAGTATTGAGTGAAAATAAGATTGTAAGAATATACAATTCGATATACACAATAAACAATAAATACAATAAACAACGCCAATAAATTACTTCGGATGAGTGTTTTATTGGGGGCGGGGTATGTGTGTGCGACTATGCACATGCATATATACATACGTGTCGGACGCCGGTATTGTGGCTGTGTAGCGGATAATTGCTAATAGCTAACGGAAAGTGTTAGTGAGATCGGACAATATGTACATAAGAATATATGTACATATGGATAAGTGGACCCTCGGACGTGAATAGTGCGGAACGCCAATCGCGGAAGGAATCGATTACTTATCTGCAGTTCTCTCTGGAAGCCACCGATGCTTGCTGGGACAATCTCGATTCAGCAAGAATCCGGCTCGAAGGACCAATGTTTGTAGTAGGGCGCTTCCTAGTGCTGCAGATAAGCCCTCAGAAGATCCAAAGTGTGCCGCAATGAATAGGCACTGTATGATGGTTAACAAATCGGTTTATTGGGCACTCGAAACGGCGCGGTTGTTTGATTATATGTGTGTATGTATGTGGGTGTGAATATAAAACGATTCTATGTATCGACGCGTACCGGAATGTACGGGGGTGGGTAGAATACTAAACTCCCGCTTAGTGAGCTGCCTGCCCGCCAACTCGCTAGCGCCAGGCAAGAGAGAGCGCGCTCCGGCTGTTAACAACAGCCCCCTGCCAACTCGCTGCTGCTACTCTCAACAGAACGTGTGAGTCGCTTCTGGGGATGCGATTCTACTTATACCCGTACTCAGTCAGTATATACATTTTTGAGATTATGATTTTTTAGAATTTTAGAAAATAAAAAAAAATTTTACATTTTACATGAGTCTGGAAACCAAATTTGGTTTTTTTAGCTCTTATAGTCTCTGAGATCCAGGTGCTCATCGAGACGGACAGACGGACGGACGGACAGACGGACAGACGGACATAGCTATATCGACTCGGCTATTGATGCAGATCAAGAATATATATACTTTATGGGGTCGGAAACGTTTACTTCTCTGCGTTGCACATATCCACTTTTACCACAAATACAATAAACGGCTTAACTCTTCTTTGTTAAGTTTGTTTAACTTTGTTTAATTTTCTATAAATAGGTTCCACAAAAATAAAAAAAAATCTCAAATATTTGATCGCCTATTTCATTTTTTGTCATTCTGTAGAACGGAAAAATTGTAATTTGCGTAAGTATATTTGTTGCTTTTGATTATACTACTAGTTCGCGTTCGACTCCCAGCGTCCCTAATCACTTATAAAGCCACGGCCTCACCTGGCTTTATCTAGGTGAAAAATCGAGCAGGTCATTCTGAATATACTTTGAAACGAAACACGGTCTTGGGATTTTTTTTCTTCCGATTTTCCCGAAATCTTCCACACAGCCCTCGTCGCCCTCTGGACTCCTCAGAAGCCTGCGTGCCCTTCATTTTGGCCCGTCGAGCCGGATAATTAAGCATTGGAGAGATTCCCACCTACGATCCAGCTTGCAGCGCGGGAACTTTGAGGAACCGCAATCCCAGCTAAGTACAAGCTTCGTCCATTCTAAGACACTCCGTCCGTCATCCGCATCACCAGAATCCAAGTATATGTATGTACATACCACCTAAGTCCCATTTTCCGCCAACACCGGCACCACATATATGCACTCCAACGCCTGATCTCGCTCTTAGTTGCCTAAGACACTCATGCTGCCTACTGCGTTGGCCCTCCTGCAATCCTATCGGTATTCCGCAATCATTCCAACAGGCAGCTCAGTATGTACATATTTATGTACACACAATCCGTCCCACACAACATAAAACGCCATTAAATACAAGAAAAACATACATATTTATTTATTGCGCATATTACAATTATTTAAACATAGCATACATAGCTCACATCCATATGTACATATATTTTCACCGGCTTATAAGCACATCCATATACATACATACGTACCGAAACATCCATACATACTAACCACACCAGCTAAAATAAATTGCACGATAATTTCCCACTAACTAGCATCTTCCCGCATATATAAAATACCCTGAAAATCCGGAATGGTTTTCCCGGAACGATGATGTGGGATGACGACGGTCCAGCAGCTCTAGATGGTTTTTTCCTACAACGGTGGTATACGATGTCAGCGAAGATTCAACCAAAACGCAGCCGTTCAATTTAAATTCATTTAATGCACTGGTCGCAGCCAGCGATGCTAACGTTCGCCCACTCCAGAAGGGAGCCGATCGAACATGCTGGGAGATGGCGTAACAGCGACTGAGCGTAACAATTCATTAACTCTTATACTATGCTATTCTATGCTAAGTTATGCTATTTTGCTGCTGCTGCTTCAACATTCCGGCCCCGTTGAAGGCCTCCGGCGCTTCAACCATCCATTGGCAATTTTGCCAGTTTTTGGACTGCTCGTTTAATAACGCCTGCGGAAGTTCGCACCTCTGCCACGCGCACTCTCCCATCTTCTCCTGCCGTCGTTGCCACCACTCGCCCTGTGGTCCACTTCTGTGGCGGTGTGTTGTCCTCGTGGACGAGCACTAGGCATCCTGCCTCGAGGTTCGGTCCTTCGGTACACCATTGCTGCCGCTGCTGCAGGCTGGCCAGGTAGTCTTTGGACCAGCCCTGCCAAAACTGCTCTTTGAGCGCGGACAGCATGCGCCACCGCTTCAAATAGTCGAAGCCGCCCTTGCTGCATTTGGCGTCTTGCTCGGATTCGGACGGCAGCGAAAGAAGCGGCTGCCCGATGAGCAGGTGCCCTGGCGTCAGGGCTTCTCCATCGCTGGGGTCGTTGCCTGGCGAAGCGATTGGCCGGGAGTTGAGGATGGCCTCTACCTCGACCAGGTGGGTGCTGAGCTCGTCCGCGGTGAGCTTGGCGTTGCCAACTCCACGTATCAGCCGCTGTTTGGCTGCCTTGACTGCCGCCTCCCAAAGCCCTCCGAAGTGCGGTGCTCTCGGTGGTATGAAACACCACTCGACGCCGTGCTGTGCTGCGTACGTCCTGAGCCGATCCTGATCCCTCTGAAATGCTGCGTGAAGCTCTTCCATCACTCGGTTCGCGCCCACGAAGTTGGTGGCGTTGTCGCTGTAGACCTTCTCCGGAAGGCCTCTCCTCCCGACGAACCTTTTGAAAACACACAAAAAACTATCAGTTGATAGGTCGACTACTAATTCGAGGTGAACAGCCTTTGAAGCGAAACACACGAACACGGCTACATAGGTCTTAATGGGGGGCCTGCCTCGAATTTTGAGGGACACCTGAAACGGACCGCAGAAATCTACCCCACAAATCAGAAAGGGGCAAGCTCTTCGCACTCGGTCAGCTGGCAGGTTTCCCATGATCTGTCCCATAAGGATGGGCTTGTATCGGAAACAGTGCACACAATTCCTCACGATTCTTGTGCATGCTTCTCGGGCGTTCAATAGCCAAATCTGCTGCCTTAGAAGGGAAACCATTACTTTTGCACCTGCATGATAATGAGCACGATGAAAATGGCGTAGAAACAGTGTCACGAACTGCGACTTTTGCGACAGCAGTAGAGGAAACTTCGCATCGTATGGAATTTCTGCGTGCAGCAATCTTCCCCCAACACGAATCAGTCGGAAGGTGACTCCGCCGAGTTCGCTCGTGTGTATGAACGGGCTGAGTCGTTGAAGATGTGGAGACAAAATTTCCGACCTATCCAGTTTGAGGAATTCTGATCCAAGCTCACATCTTTGGACTACCTGTACCAGCCTAAGAAATGAGACCTTTAGCTCCTTAGCTGATACAACCACATCTCGACTGCGATTGCCACCTTGAATGAACCGATTCACATACGCCATGATCCGCAGCAACTTCTGAAACGAAGA